GCCATCGAAATTTCCATTAAATTCGATATATTTCAGCTCTGGAGAAGGTTAACACAGAGGAGATGGAAGAACTGCAGGAGCAGATAGTCAAGTTGAAGAGCCTGCTGTCCGTGAAGCGCGAACAGATTGGAACTCTGCGCAACGTGCTCAAGTCAAACAAGCAAACCGCTGAGGTAGCCCTGACCAATCTCAAGTCGAAGTACGAGAACGAGAAGATCATTGTCAGCGACACCATGTCCAAGCTACGTAATGAGCTCAGGCTTCTTAAGGAGGATGCAGCCACTTTCTCAAGTGAGTATCTGAAAGATAGTTTTCTATGCGAAATGATTAATGATTCATATATACTTACAATGATTCCCAATATTTTTAGGCCTGCGTGCCATGTTCGCCGCTCGTTGCGAGGAGTATGTGACCCAGGTGGATGATCTCAACCGCCAGCTGGAGGCAGCAGAGGAGGAGAAAAAGACTCTAAACCAGCTGTTGCGCTTGGCTGTCCAGCAGAAGCTGGCGCTCACTCAGCGACTCGAGGAGATGGAAATGGACCGGTGGGTGCATTTGGGTCGTTAAACGTCAGCTGCATCACCACTCGCAGTCACAAGCAAAAACACATTCATCCTTTTCTTGATTAGGGCTCCCAATATCCCTGATTTCCCCCTGAAACTTCCCTAAGAATCCAGCAATTGGTAAGCCCCTGCAAGTGGCAGAAATTTTGTTGCATGCACGCCCGCCTGCTAACCTGCTGCTGGAAACCGCCTAACCTCATGAGAAACCGTTGTGCGCTGATTAATATTTTAATTTGATTTAGCTTATTTGATTAAATGTATGTTTCCAATTAACAATTAACAACTAACAAATATCCTGTTCACTCCCAACAGCGAAATGCGTCACGTCCGTCGGCCGATGCCCGCCCAGCGTGGCACGAGCGGCAAGTCCTCCTTCAGCACGAGGCCTTCGAGCAGGAATCCAGCAAGCAGTAACGCCAACCCATTCTAACATAAGATCAGCGTGCAGCGTAAACTTCTGGCTTTGGTTTATACTTTGCTTAAGTTGTAAAATCGTTGGAGTTCCTGCGGAATAGAGAGATTCCAAAAATCACATGATATACTGCTAACGTATTTGAGAACGAAGCTATATCCCAGCTCTATCCAACTACTATAACTATGTTTGTATTGTACTTGTATTTATTGAAAGTTTAGTTAGACGAAAGTTTTGTGTTAGGCAAGGGAGCAACAAACAGTTATTAACGGTTAGTTACTTAAACGTCCAATTAATTTAATTAAAAACAAAAACTTTAAAGAAGATTAAATAATAACGTTACGCATTGTATTTTTCTATAAACCACTGGCGTACTTGTCTTGAAGACGTCTGATTGGTTTGATCTGAGTTTGTTAACTTTCGCGATGATTTTTTGATTTTTGTTAACAACGCTGTGCGCAAGCGAATAAATTGACAAACTAAAAAGATACATAAGTGGATGTTGAGCAGAAGGTATTGATATTGACAACGGCCCGATAACCGAAAGTATTTTTCCAAGAACCAGTTCAAGCTGAGTGGCCAACAAAGGTGTACGTAAAAATCAAGAGATCAGATTCTTTTTCGAAATGTATATTAGCCATGGCTCGCAGCCATTGAATCTAGAGTAGCACAGGCTACGTCTCAAAGACGATTCTGAATGATGATGAAGATTTTTGTATTTATTGAGCGGCAATTGGTCGCCATGAAATGAAGAAATTGTAGGAAATTAATTATAATTTGCAATTGAAAAAACTAAGTTTTTGTGGCTATTTTAGTTATATTAATTGCAAACATAACTTATGATTTGTGCATTATTATTTAATACAATTAATAAATTGCAACACAACAAAATTAAGCAAGTAAACAACTTAATTTCTTTTTATTTTTATAATTTAAGGGTGGATTCCCTTTCAATGTCCACAAACTTAAATTGTTCGAACGTTGATTCAGAAGAAGATAATGAAACTACGCCCAAAAGTATGGAAAACAGGAGGATGTTTTTCCTTTTACACATTCATAAGAACTTAATGGATGAGAATTTATTTTATTGATTTACTTCAGACAGTCGAGCAAAAAGTCCAACAGCGTTGAAAATATTATATGTTTAAATCAGAAATAAATAACTATGGTGATTACCAGCAGCTTAACCAACATAAGAGTAGCGTTAAAGTTTAAAGAATATTATTGTAGTAGCTAATTGAACATAAAAGGTAGAGATATCAGTCAGAGCACTTTCTGTAGTGTTTTTAAATTAATCCACCCCAAAAAGCCTAAGACCTACAAACCTGGTTGCTTTTTTTGGGTTCTTGATGTTTTCGTTGTCAATCGGAGAAGATCGATATTCTACATGAAATTTTTATATACAAGATCATGAATTGTGTAAATTACCGAGCCATTAAATTGAATTTATATTTAAATAAACACAGATACACACATACTGATACACAACGTCCATTCATGCATTCACATATTAACTCTTTGGAGTTGCCTATACAAATTATGCAACGTGCCAGAAAAGTGAAGAGAAGGCCTCTAATTAATTGTAAATATATTTATATACACATTGAAGTCAGTAGATATTTCGAATGATAAACAAGCGAACAAAACAAGTTGCATACATATTTCAAATGATTTTATTGTAATTTTTACCGTCCCTTTTTGCGAACAAATACAAAATACAAAGTCTATTTACGCAACTCACTGAACCAATAACGAAGGAATGAAACAACTCACTTTAAGTTTCGTGTCCAAGCAAAAGTCCGAGATCACATTCAACTCATACATCGATCCAACAAGCCAAAGTATTGATAGCCAATATGCGTACTACATAAATCATAAAATTAACTCGAGACTAGAGTTCTTCAATTAGAGATTATTGATAGCCAGAAATGAAATGAAATAAAGTGAAAGCAAAATAAATAGTTTTCTATTTCCCAAACGAAAGATTAAGAAAGAGTGTAATAGTGAAGCAATTGAATTTAAGATTTGAAGGATATTTAATGTAAGTTTTATGATAAAATGCCGGCAAACTGCAATAACTTTGCATGTGGTAACTGTGGACATATGAAAAATGCAACCGAGTGTGCAAGGGATAGCCCAGAAATAAAAATAAATTATACAAATACTCATTGCAAAATATGTGAAAATAAACAAACTAGCAAATATGAGTTTGGATTGTTTTTTTGATGGTATTATTACAATATTGATTCCTTTCTTATATCAAATCAAACAAAAACTCCTGTTAAAGAGGTTAAAAAGAAGTGCGTGTAAATTCAAAAGTTCTGACAACAACTTTTTTGACGTATTATATAAAATATAATTTACTCATTCGACACGCTTTATCAAAATATTTATCTGTTGATGGTCGAGTGCATTTTATAATAAAGGAAGCCGAATGAGTACATTTTAAAAAGTGTATCTATAACTCGAAGTGCAGAAGTATTTTAAGTATTCTAAACTTCAAAGTCTTGGAATGAAATCCTTCAGTTTTTGCACTACCTTCCCATTAGAATATCACTCTTCATGACAGATTTTTAATTTTTCGTGTATACTTTGTAGTTGCCTTCGCATAATCGCTAGGACGGCTTCGTCACTACGTGGACTGCCGTTCAGAGTGATATCTTAAAAATCTCTTACATAGTCAGTTTGGTTATTTTTGCACTACATCTTTAAATAGGTCCGTCACCTAAGGGGATGGGGTATATTATTTTAAGCCCGTTATCATGGAGAAAGAAAACGTTTATAACGTATATATATTATATTACTGTGTAAACCTGATCATGTTTCTCCGTTTCTAAGTCAGTATGAATTTTAAAAATTTCAATAAAGCTGAGACTTGATTCAAAACGTTAAAATGGCCACTAAAATGCCCATAAAGGTACATTGTACTAAAACTCGATTAGTTTTTGCTTAGCCTATTATCAATATAAATCGAGATTAAATTTCTGGAAAATGAAGATTTCTTTTCAAATCCATATAATAATTATTTAGAGTGAGGAAATGAAAAAAACTTTTTTACAAAAGTGAAAATTGAAATTTAACCTATTTTTCATAGTAATAATAATATATCGTAGTCATTACTGCCAAAAAGCGTATAAAAATGCTTTAGTTCATTTTTAATTTTTATTCGCTTGAAATCGTATTTTTTAATCGTATTTTATGGCAAACATTTTTTTTTCAATAATTTGTTTTTAGAAAAATAAGATGTTGATTCCCTAAAATATATATTTTACGGCTCTTGCCTATGCATTTTTCGTTTAGCTTCCTAGCCCAAAATCCGGCAAATATGTGCCAATTGAGTTTTTCGCAACATGTGTGTGCTGCGAACCAGTTTTTTGTGCCCGGTCGTTGGATTCTCCATCCTTCTCGGAGTGGCACACTCCATTAGCAAGTCCGTTTGGGTCCTGAGCGATGCCCCTCAGCATTGCATGATCAGTACGCCAACTTCCAGCCAAAGAAGAACAGTCAAGAAGAAATAGTGAAGATGATGGGATGATCAGGATCAGGATGTTTGGGACCTGTTGATTTTCATTGCGGCGAATGTAATTGCCACCGAGAGGAGACTTGAATCCGCCAATACCGTGCCGCCTGATTTCCAGAAGATTGGACTCAGATACTTGAGACACAATGAGACAAAATCATGGACTGATGTCGGAGAAACCTGTCGCCAAAAAGGGCGGTCAAGTAGGAGTGCTCCGAAACGAAAACGAACTCCGGCCAATAACCAGATATTGGCTGGGCACTTGGACAGATCGAAATAAAGGCGTATTCGTGACGGCCTCCAGAAAGCAAGGACCGATTCTTAAGCTGGCAACCAAGACCAAATGTCGTGCAAGCACACTCTTATTGGGTTGAATTGAATAACACAGAATTAACCAAATGCATGCCATTAAAAGCAATATTCAAATGGGCTAACCTCGTACTCATTTTGGCGGGCATTACTTAAGCGCGTTCGGAGAGCGTTCGGTGTTCATTGTTTGCGGATATACAGAATATGCAGAAGCTCAGTATTTCGCTGATACTTGCACTTGTTGCCTGCAAGTCGCGCGTCTCTTCAGCTGCAACGCAGTCAGTGTGCTTGCTGCAGGATGAGCCGCATCAATGTGGCGCGTTTTGCCTCACAGTACTGACCCCCATGCTGGATCACATTGCCAGGCACCAGGACGAATGGACCTCGAGTATTCTGCAGGCAAACGAAACGGAGGCGAGACTGGCCAGGATCGAGGGTATGCAGACGGCGATACACATCAGTCAGCAGGTCCTGCAGGAATCGTGGACGAGCAGCTTGCCCAAGGACATCGCAGCGAGGCTGGACAGGCTGGAAAGTCAGCAGGCGGCGCTGTCGCGGATACTCACCAAGTTCGATAGGAAAATAGTTCCGCCCAAGTTCGAGCTGATCGGTTCGAGGTACTTCTACATCGAGGACGAAAGGCGAAGGAACTGGACCTCGGCTGTCAGCTGCTGTCGCCAGATGGGCGCCCAACTGGCCACCATTCGCAGTGCGGAGGAGCTGGCTTCCCTCAAGGCCAAGCTTAACAAGCAGCGGCACTACTGGCTGGACATCACCGATCTGGCGAAGGAGGGGGACTTCAGGGTATCTGCTTCCGGCAAGAAACCCAGCTTCTTCAAGTGGAGAGCGGGTCAGCCGAATAACATCGGCGATCAGCACTGCGTTGATCTTTTAGACGGACTGATGTACGACAATAAATGCGAAGGATTGAGCTACTTTATTTGCCAGTCGGACGATGATAGCTTGGACTAAAGGTCTCGGAACTGCCGACTAACAGTCAAAGTTTTTAATAGTTTGATCGGTGATACTTTAGTGCCTCCTGGCTCGATATTATTTATCAATTGCTGAACCTTACCCACATGCTTCTACCGATTTCCAGGGTTGTGCACTTATAGCGATCAATAAATGATGGATCTGTTGTGTGTCGGAATATTCCTTGAACAAATGTGATGTGAAAGCTGCACCATGGTCCTGAATGGGTTACCAAATATTACCGCCCATCTCTCTCCTGTACTCCAGTGCTGTCCTACGTACCTCTTACGTAATCTATATATGATAAGTGATAAGTGGTTTGTCTCCTTATCAATGGGATTGAGATATTCCGGAGGAATACCTGGTTTTGCGTATACTAAAATGCACTCAACACAACTTCCAATTACCTTCAGCACTTTGACTTTCAACTTTGGCACGAAAAAGGATTTCTCCACCAAATCCTGTGTCTTCTTCGGCGATTTATCTTGCCTGTGAACAATCTGAGTGATTTCGGTTTACATTTGAGTTCTCTGTCTGGGTCCTTGAACATTATCTGATTAGTAATGTAGTAATTCTCAAGATCCTTCGTTTCAACTAAACTCCTGGCTGCCTAAATCATCCAATCATTTGCTAACTGTGATTCCTTTGCCTTATGTGATTGAACCGATTTTGATTATGTAACCAAAGAAATCTGCCCTGCTCTGTAGCATCTGTAACGTCTCCCAGTTAAGCACAAGCGAAATAAGTAACGTTGTGACATATTGTAATATGTGTAAAATGTATTATGTAGAATATGGACATGTAGACAATGGAAAGGCCCGTTAATTTCTGGTACAGCGCTTGGCCGCATGTGGCGCTTTAATTGAAAATTGGAATTCGAATTTGAATTTGCAATCCGCATTTTCTTTAAAAATAAAACAGTTTTTAAGGGGAGAACTACCTTTAGAGGCCCGAACAAAGACTTTTTTTGAATCGATTTTTAGGAAAACGAAAACAGTTCTTTTCAAATCCATCCAGGGAACAACAAAAATCGACTCGTATATTACAAAAGTGAAAATTGAACCAATTTTTCAAGGATCGTGACAGTCACATCGCCGCTGGCACACAATTTTAGTCTGAAATCAACATATCAAATATTTTCTTACTCGAGAGGGTTTTTTTTTTATCGCCGATAAATTAAAATATTTGCGAAATTCGAAAAGTCACTTCCGGAAGGCATCTGCTCCACAGTTTCGAGGCAATATAGGATTCCTGGAGATTCATTTGGTAACATTTTTATAGAAAGTTTATTAAATTTGGTTTATTTTCGATGATGATTGACGGGCATTCCGGACAGCAGATACAAACCGAACAAATACATCACTTTCAAGGAACAGCGTCGAAGCTTGGTCCACATTTGGCATCCTTGAAAAGGCGCAATCACATGGTCTTGGAGACGTTTGAGACTTGGACGACTACTGGAATGACCGAGGATGCTGAAAAAACTGGTGCGAGATTGGCTGACTTCCTGGCGCAACTCTGTGATTTCGTTTGACATTTGTTGAGCACTCTTACGCAATTGTTCCAATTCTCCAGTTCGCCTTAAGTGAATAAAAATAGATTAGTCAGTACAATGTGTCATTTCCTATAGTATTATAATTCAACCAAAACGAAAGTAAAAGGATTTAGATGTTTTTTTAAGATTATTACATAAGTATACATATTAATGAAAATGTTTTTTCAGTTTCAATTTGAATATACATATGTTGCTCACAACTCTGGCGACATTGAAACATTGCTTTTGTGATAAGCAGGAGTTAATTCTTCTAAAACTGAGACTCAGTTGGCATTGGCTCGTTTTAATGGCGGTTGTGTAAATGTTCAGGAGATAAATGAGATTTGTATGGCGATTTTTGATAACCGTTATTATGGGTCTTAACTTTTAAGGAATTATAGCCGACCTTCATACGGTCAGGATAGGATCATATAGGATCTGATACATATTATAAAACCTGTTACACACTTTACCACAAATCTAGTACACCCATTTTGCCTTATTAAAAAGCAAATTATATGTTCGTATTATTTTTCTTGAATAGCAAGTAAAAAATTGAACTTTACTTATTTTTATTTTTTGGACTGATAAGAGTTTTTTGGGTTGTGTACACGACCAAAGCAGCTTCTGTGTCTCAGTCCATTTAATCATCCCGAGCGAACATGGAGTCGATCGTAGCCACAGCAGCTATTCTTTTAGTTAGCGTCATTTTGGGCGAAGCCTGCACGAATTGTGTTCCCATCAACCAGTGCTCGGTGCCGAAAAATATACCAATGTGCAAAACCCAAGAAATTCATTGTGACATTATCATAGATGTGCATATATTTTGATGAGAAGCTCTGTGCGTAGATTCGACTCAATATTTGATTATTTGCAGAATATTTTTTGCACAGAAGGACCAGAGCAACCGGATTCTAAGCCTGAAGTAAGTTGTTTTAAATTGTATCTCTGGATCGATCTGTTATAGTTTACATTTTCAACTTTTCCCAGTCATCTGCTTCAGAAGAGGAGAGCGATCCCATGAACGATTGTGTTCACAGAGACCTGTGCTTAGTCGCGAAACAGATAAATGTGTGCAAAGACAATGAAGTCTGTTGTGCACAGATCGTAGAGCCTAAAGTAGGTTTTTTTTTAAATTGTAGTTCTGGATATGTTACAGCTTACATTTTCAACTTTTCCCAGTCATCTGCTTCAGAAGAGAAGAGCGTGCCCATTACGTATTGGCCACCCCAACATAGGGAATGGAATACCCCGTGGGTCTAAATTGTTCTTTCCCTCGGAGGAGAGAATCTTCATGTCACATCAAAATCAAGAATTTATTCAATCAAATTTATATTTCAGATGATTATTTCTTTGTATATTTGTATTTCTTTCCTCTCATTGAATAAAACAGGAGCTTGTTTGATATAATGCAATTTTCTTATGTTTTATACCCTGTAAGCGCGGAGTAAAAGGGTATACTAGGTATGTTAAAAGGTATATAACTGCAAGAAGGAAGCTTATCAGATACTATAAAGCTTATACGAGTATAAACTTGATAGGAATCAAGCTGGTCATGTCCGTTTGTCCGTCTGTCAGGCTGTCCGTATGAACTGTGTGATCTCGGGAACTATAGAAGTTTATGGTTCTTACATATGGAAATTAATATTTCCTCCTCACTTTTTTTATTTTATACTTTTTCTTGCTAATTTCATTCGATATTTCAAAAGAATTTTGAAATTTCTCCCTCACAACTCTCGCTAAGTAATGGGAAATTGAAAATCGAGGGACTTGACTTTAGTGTTCTCTGTCGTTTCTTTGGAATATCGACTATATATTTGTCGGCTGATGTAAATATAATAATACCCCCATCCTGCCGTGTACTCAGTTTTCTGGAGCAAACATGAGGCATTGGGGGGCAATCGGAACTCTACTCTTAGCAAACGTCCTCATGGGCAATGCATACGGAATCAGAATTTGATCACCGCTCAAAAAAATGCGGTACTAATCAAATTTGCTGTGCAGTTTTACGAGAGGTAAGCTTATAAAATGTTTTTCTATAATATTTATTCTTCTCGTGACTATTTGCAGAACTTTATAGGCGAAGAAAAGCCTGGTAGTGCAATTTTAATTGAACCAAATGGCCCCAAAGATAATAATCCAAGACTACCATCGAATAAACGCGGACCCGCCAGGAATAACCCAGATTAAGGGATTATGCAATGCATTGCGGCACTAGCAACCCAAATGGCTTTCAGGTTTAGCAGGAGTCACCTCTTATCAAGCATGGCCAGCACAGTATCCTTGGGTTGTTGCTCTTTTCCTCAAAGGAGAGTACTGGGCCGGAGGATCCCTGATTAAACCAAATGTCATTTGTGTCATTTTGAATTTATCCTTGAAACTGGTGCCAACAACTTGGCGCTTCTTTTCCCTAAATCGCCCTTCAAACTGGATGCACAAAATAAAACTATCTGTTTGCCTTCACCAAATAAATGTTTGTGAATATTGAACGAATAATATAGAAATAGGTAAAAACAGTGGATGTGTCGATAGGTCAAAATATTGCAAGTCAAAAAGTTTGCAAGTTTTGTAAGTCAAAATTGAATCTTACTCTGTGATGTCACGCAGTTCTTCCTCCAGCGAAACCATTCTCCTACTCAGGATATGAATGCGTTCATTCTTTTTATCCAGTTGATGCTGGTACCAGTCCCTCACCTGGCGGTACTTGTCATCTCTGCTCTCCGCCAGCACCACTTCCTGGATGAGCTCCTCCTTTTCCGCCTGCAGTTTCCGCCTGATGCCCTGCTCCGCGGTCAGCTGCTGTTTCAGGTGGGATTGTTCCATGTAGGCGGTGAAGAGCAGGCGTTGGGTTTTGCCAGACATCTCCTCCAGCTCATCGTACTGTAAATCAAGGAATATTTCTATGAATTCTCTCTTATTAAATACACACATTCACAACTCCTAAAATAATTGCTAGCACATTTTCGTAAATTAAGGACCCTGACTAAATAAAGTACTAATTTCTTGTTGCTTATTGTCTAATTGTTAATCCAACTTACCTCCTGTGAGCGCTGGTCCAAGTCCGTTTGCAATCGATTTTTCTCTGTTGTGAGGTCACGGACCGAGTTAACGAGGGATTTGCAGGAGGACCTCACTTGGTCAATGCTCATCGTTGATTGCTTTAGCTTCATTTGAAGTTCCCTGTTCCTCTTTTCCTCCACTCGTACCAAAGTGCCATATACGTGCAGTTGGTTTTTGGACTTCATGGACTGGAAAGTGGTCAAATTATCCTATAGGTAGCATACAAAATTGATAAAACCGCCAATACTAACGTTATCCTGAAGGCGTTGCACCACCTCTTGGAGTTCACGAACCTCCTTTCGCCGTTGGCGCCACGAGTGCAACATTACCATGGTGAATACCTTCAGGCTGGCAGCCGTTTTCATTTGGGTGCACAGTTGCGGTGTGGATACCATCACCCGTTGCTGATCCTCTGGGGCTTTTGCTATCGCCCAAGAGCTACTATAAGCACCCTGCCTATCCATAAACTCAGTCATGTATTAAAGTGTTAAAAAAACTTAAATTTTCTTGTATAGCGTCTGCGTTTGCTATAGCAAATTCAAAAATATACAAAAATTGGCCTTACATTCCCTACTAAATATTTTGTCAGTTCGAAAAAAGACTAGAAATATCATGAAGTTTTAATCAACGCTACCTCAGTGTACAGCAGTTAAATCATAAGCTTTCCTTGGTTTTTTCGCAACAAATACGTGGAATCGGCCAAGGACATCAGGGGTTAACTGGCGATTTGCACGCACACTCGAATGGTGCTCAAGGATTTTCGGCTTAACATACTGTGTCGAAGTGCAATACACTCCTTAAAATACCCACTCATATATTAAATACTATATTATTTTATTTAATTATTAAACTAAATTACTGGACAGTTCATTACTTTTATTGTCTAAGCAGAACTCTCAATGGATTTAAAAAATGGGACTTACGAGATGCGTTAGATTAAACAAGAGTATTTGCCGTCTTTATAAAAAAATTGTTAATCAAAAAAATATATGTATTGGTTTTAACGCTTTGTGGAATTATTATTTACCAAGTTCGTGAATCGGTCGGTGTGCTTATGCAACTCATTGACTGAAATACCAGACGCACTGGCTGCCACAACCTGTGCAAGGTCCTTGTGGCAGAGGCGTGGTTAGCTGTACAGTGAAAGGGCTTATAAGCAGACGAATCTGTACATGGCTATGGGGGTAAATACCAACTTCACTCTAGCCTTCACATTGAATGGGACACCGACAACATTGTCGGGTTAGTTGCCCTGCCGCTGTCAAGGACACGTGCCACAGGAAGTTCAAAGAGTTTAAGGCGAAAGTCCGACAACCGGAAAAATCAATAACGCCCCGTATACACAGGGTACACATGTATGTACATGAAAACGACTGCCTCAGCACGTGTCAGCTTATAAGGGGGCAGGATCCATTAAAAATTACCTCGCGGGACTGGACGAATATCGCGTGATTTTCATGGAAAACCCGCTGCAATTGGTTGCTGGCTTTGTGTGAGTGGGAGCTTTTCCACCATTGTTTGATCGATGTCTGGACTCCATTAACCGGGTTGTTGTTCTACGTTCGTGCCATCAAGACATTGCGAGTTGGCTTAGTCCCGCGATTCCCACTCCCATGCAACGGGTGGCGATGGCAATTTATGTGGAATTTCAATACTAACATTTGACATAATTCCTATTTATTCGTGCTTAGCTCATGTGCGCTTATGTATGTATGTATGTATGTAAGTCTGCCAGGCTGCATGTCCTTTGTGCCCGTGTGGTTTTTGATAACGATTTACGATAATGGCGGAAAGCCCCCTTTTTTAGGTAGCGGTCGCACGGGGATGAACTTTTTCAGCGTGCAAGTAGATCTTCAGTCATCGACTGTCCAATTTCAGATAATATTATTTCTGCATTACAAGTGTTAAAAGCGCATGATTGATGATATATGTCTTCCAAAGAAAGTTAATTTCACATTGTTTCAGTAATTTTTTTTAATACCCAAAAAAAAGTAGTTTGAAAATCCTTATCTGTCATATATTGAACATATAAAAATTGATACATTACAGTTTTTACTTTCTGCGCTATTCCCATGTAATATTTCATCATATATGTATGTTCATGATCTATTTCATTATAAATGTTTGGTTTAATTAACAAAACCCGAAAAAAATCAAGCCTTATCTAAGGTTCGACCTTTTTATTGATACATTCCACTATCAACCGTACTGACCCCACTTCCCGAGAAGGCTAATCAGCAACATTATGAAATTCCGCGGAACAATCTTGAATGTCAGAGGTCCTCCGACCGGAAAGTGAAAGCTGCTCCGGAATGCTGAGCACGAAGCAAGTGAGTCACGGCATTGAGACTCTGCCGGAGTGGAAATTAATGCCACAACAAATGCCGGCGCAGGATATTATCCTTTTCCAGGAATCGTACGCTGATTCAGGCCCCAACCCCATGGGTGGAAGTGGGCTCGCAGACACACTCACAGATAGTAAGTGATTCGTGCTGTTTCATTCATAAAGTCTTAAAAAGCTTTTCGGAGGCGGTCGCTCGTGGAGATGAGTCACAAGTGAAAGACACTGAGATAAATGAACTCGACTATAACAGTTGGATGTGCATTTTTTTCGTTATTAATAAACCATTATTTACTTTCTTGTACGTTTATGTACATGCAGTTTTGCCGTTTTAAACGGAGCTCATTTTGGAAACAAACTCCTAATTCAATTCTTCTTGGATTCATTAACTAAACGTAAACTATACATAATTTTGTACAAATGCTTTATTTAATCGAATTAAAATAAAAAGTAAACCGTATAATTTATACTTTCTTCATGTTCCATTTGATTCATTTCCCTGAAAGAGTTATTCGATGCAATTATTGAAGCACTCCTTCAATACAGTATATACTCTGGGTTAAGAAGGTGACACATTTTAAAAGCTTTAAATAGAAAAAATTGGCCTGCATACCGACAAAACTATCTCAGTCAGATAAACGCACTTAAATATAAATTAATGAAATATGTACATATATTGTTTCGTCATAATGGAATTATCGCGCATTCCTCGAAACTCGGATTTGTGGAAGATGTAGACATCAGTTAGCAGCTATAAGTAGCAAGTGGAAAACTCAAATCGTAAGTGACTCAGCCTCGCAGAGGCAGATCTCGCTCTCTTCGCCGGATTGGCTCTCTTCTGAGCTTAAGTCAAGTCGACGAAGAGCAGAGCAGAGCTTGTGGGGCTGACAACTGGCGACT